GGTGTACCAATGACCCTGCGACCCAGGAAGGAAGAGGCAGGTAAAGAAAATGGATGGGTGTTTGTAATGATCCAAGCTGATGAAATATTGATGTTTTGATGAATAAACTGAAGAGAACCAAGTACCAAGATCAAAAGTAATGTGTAAACCCACATACATATAACTTCATATGAACTTCAGACGAAACAAGCACACCTACCCCCCGGTGGAAGTGGTCTCCAGCTACAAGTACTTGGATGTACACCTGAATGACAACCTCAGCTGGAGCAACACAACACCACCACCAGCCTGATCAAGAAAGCTCATCAGAGATTGAGACTAGCTGGTCTGTGAAGCTCAGTCCTCACCTCCTTCTACAGGTGTGCAGTGGAGAGCATCCTGTGCTCCAGTATCAACGTGTGGCATGGAGGCTGCACAGCTGCAGAAAGAAAAGCTTTGCAGAGAGTGGTGAAGGCTGCACAGAAGACTGTTGGAGTCAGTCTCCCCACCATCACAGACATCTACACCTCTAGATGTAGGAAGAGGGCCACCTGCATCATGAAGGACCCCACTCACCCAGCACACACACTTTTTGCCCCACTCCCCTCAGGAAAGAGGTTGAGGAGCATTAAGTGTAGAACCACTAGACTGAGGAACAGCTTCTACCCTGAAGCTGTTAGACTCATTAATCCCTAACCAGAATAATCACTGTGAACAAAATCACTGTAATGCCACTTGATTGTTGATATGTGCTGCTGGTTATCCATGCTGCTGATCTCATGCTGCTGATTTATTTCATGCTGTTGTGTTCATTCATACTCATCTGCTCACACAGACTCATGTTCGTGCTACTGTTCAGCGTATTGTTTTTATACTGTTAGTGCTGAGTGTATTTTTTGTTAATGTTTTTCTTAGTTCATATCTTAGATCTTATTACTGATTTTCTTTACCATTTAAACTTTTGTTGGATGTAGTTGGGACCCTGTGTACACAATTGTGTTCCACCACATGTACCACATGTGTTGTGTATGACAAATAAAGAGACTTTGACTTTGATATAACACATAAAGCCAGTGGCTTCATGTGGTCACCATGGTAACCACTCGTCTCCCACTCCCTGGCGTCCCTCATGAAGGGATAGTCTGGTCATATTTTAAGTGATGTTCTGTCTAAAAGTTAATAGTTGGTAAGTTACCAGCGGTGACATCAGTCACAGAACATGTGGAGGAAGAGGCAAAAGTCTTCCTCCAGGCTACAATAAAGGCTAGCCAAACAAAGGCCTTAAAATAGTTTTTTAGGCTTTTAAAACAACTCTCAAAAATGTCACACTTGTTAAAAATGCTACTTTAACAGACCAACGTTATTGCAGCAGCCAGTTGTTTAGTTCTGAGCGTAGACCGTGCACAGCAGACCTGGACAACATATGGCCCGAGAGCCAAAAGTGGACAATCGTCATCCGGTCCTCAACATCCTTCATAGAATAAAAAAACAACTTTCAAATAAGTTAATGAAATCTAGTGTTTTATCAATATGAAATTTGAGGAATTCTAAATTAAAAATCTTGGACAAATCCATGGAAAACCTTTGGATTAAGATAGACTAAAACTGTTCTTTGAAGAAGTTATGTTTCCAGAACTTGACTGCTCCTTAAAGACTCCAAAAAACAAAACCTTTTTCTTGGTATTCTTTATTTTATTCTTTATTTATTTTGCATGTGTAAGCTAAGAAATGTATTATTATTACTACATCATATCACAAGAGTCAGTTTATAGAAAGTATTTTTATATTCCTAAACAGTATTGGGGAGACATATTTTTATCAAGTATGCTAAACTATGCTACATACTGTGTAGCTGTATGTAGATGTATGCTATACTGTGCCCTTGAGCAAGTCCCTTAACCCCCACCATCTGCTCCCCGAGCCACCCTAGATAGCAGCTCTCTGCTCCACAGAGGGCTGTGGTAGCTCGGTGGTTGTGTCAGGAAGGGCATCCGCTGTAAAAACAATCGCCATGTCTTCATGAGAGTACATTGTGGTGACCCCACAGGAAGTGTGCAGCCAAAAGAAAAATAAATAAATAAAAAATAACGCTAAACTATGCTACAGCAAGATAATGCCTAAAACAGTCTTCAGGATTATTTGTCTTAAAGAAAATGTTTTGTCTAATTATCTATTTGGCCTTTTATTCGCTTTAATGATCTAAATTAGGCTCTGGAAACGAATGTTGCCTACCCCTGGTGTCCAGAGGGTGCTGGGTCCACTAGATGTGCTGATCAGGCTGACTGGTGCGTTCAGCAGCCTCAGCACCTTTGGCAATAACACGGTTCAGCATATATACATTTGTTACATGAATGTTGTTTGATTGAGAGAACGGCTGAGAACGGAAAACTTAAACTATCGGTGTTGAGGTTTAATGCTGCAGTAACGCAGGACTGTTAATCATTCTTTAACATGTTTAAAATTCAAACATGACTGCAAGGCCCTGTGACTGCAAGACGGTTGAGTCTTTAAAATGTTTCAAGACGTTGTAAAGACTCCTATGTGAACGTTTTTCACTAAGCAGTCCAGACGAGGTATTGGCTTAACACTCTCGAATAAAGTCCTGCAACCCCAGTTTGTCCTGATGGGTGGTGTCACAGTGATGTGGGGGAGGACATCTTTCCCATTCCTTATTGAGACAATAAGACTGTCAGTGTTTTCAAGAAGCAGCTGTTTGAGTTGCAATCTGGACTTTCATTGTTAAACGGCGAGCTCGTTTACTGGGCACTGCCAGTAAAATTATTTGCCCAGTTTAGTTTTACTTCAGATGAATCCGTTTGTGGCGTCGACGTCTGCACAGTCTGAACTCGAAGCTTTTTAAAGTGGAACTGTTTACAGCCCGCAGAAAACATCACTTCTGTATTTTTGTCGGTGCAGAGAATTTCTTCATGAGTCATGAGCTGCAGTTAGGAGTCAAACCAGACTGAAGATTTACTTCTTAGGATCGATTTGTTGCATTTTAAACTTTAATGTGAGGTGTAATTAAAAATAAAAATAAAAGCTTTACCAGAATAAACCTGGGTTCTGTTATGTTCCAAATGTTTCTTGTAGTTTTTTATTTGCCACTGAACATGACTGATCTTTGACCAGTATTATATAGTGATTTATTAATTAGACACTCATATATTACATATTAAAATCCCAAACCAGTTGCGATGACATGCTGGACTCTGCTTCTGAAAGTTCCCACACTGATGCGGGTCCGGACTGTTGAGACAAATCCTCACATCTTCATCACCATCTGCACAATAAAGAGCTGTTCTAGAGCAGCCAGCCTCCGACATGGTTTGTTGCTGTAAGGCCTTTTGTCGCAAAATCTGACATTGATTTAAAAGCATCTTGTTGCAAAATCTATATTTATTTAAAAGATCCTTTAATAAGGTCGGAGGAGAAAGTTTGAGTTGGACACAATCAGTTTTTGAGCTGAATGCACTAACGGAAAAATACTAAAACAATTATTTAGATTTTTTTTTTTTTTTTTTTAATGTTGCCAATGAGATTAATTTGCTGTTATAAACATATTAGTTTAATACTGGGCGCTTGACTGTTTTGTTTTAATTTATTGAAGTTTTGGTTAATACAGACCAAAGTCAAGCATCAAAAGGAAGTCATGGGTGGAAAGACTGACCTGTTTCTGGGGTCATTTCACTTCTGAAGGTTTAAAACTTTACAAAGATGGTTTGAAGTCCATCAGGAGGTCGTTAAGAGGATAAACCCAGACCTGACAGAGATGTCTCTCTACAGCTGAAGAAGTAGAATGAGACCAAATGTTCATGAAGAAAGAAAAGCAGCGATAATGGACTACATGTTGCTTAATGGGATATGCATATAAACAGTTGTACTCATCAGGATGAACAAAACAGTGTTAATGAATATTTTCCAAACAAGCATCCATACAGTCAGTTTTCTGTATTGTAGAACACAACACTGTTTTTGTCGTTTACCTTTTTAATACTTCAAGACAAAAAACATTTTAAAGAACTGATTTAGTTTCACCTCATTTTTGACAGACTTCTTTAATTTTGTTGTCAGTTCAGAGACGTCTCACACAGCTGAGAGGAAAATACCAGTTGTTTTAAATATACAGGGAGACTAATCTTATATAATCAGTGAAAATGTTTAATTTGATTATAAATTATTACACTGAACATTTTAAAATTATTTTAATTTTATTTTATGCCTCAACCCTCCTCTTGCCACGATGAGAAACTGAGGCATGAGGGGATGAAAATCAGCACAAATATTTGTTTATCCTCCATGTTTGTTCTTATTTCTGTCAAAAAGCTCCAACTCATGAACAAGTAAAACCTTTAGAAAAATATTCAGGTTTTACTCAGTGTAAAACAGCTAAAAGACTTTATTAATCATTTATTTTTCTAAACATTGATCCAACCAAAGAATGGTTTTACTTTTATTAAATCACCAAGATATTCTCTTGTTTTAACATCCATCGATCACTGGAAAATTTAACACATTAATCTTTTTGTGATTTTAGAGCACACTTGAAAAACAGTAAAATATCAGAGGATGCTCAAGTTGAAGTATAATTTAAATTAATCTGATTTTAACATAAATATCAAGATTAGGAGGTTTAGCTGCATCTGACTTAAACCTATTAATACTGTTTAAATGTGAACTATTTCTGCTATTTACTAAAGTTTAGTCAAAGAATGACCTAAATGGATCTTTTAAATGTATCTTTCTGTCAGGGCTGTTGAAGGACTTGTCTTGTCTGGGAGCCAATGGGAGCGCGCAGCCGCACGAGACTGCTGCCTCGCGCCCAGCTAGCCGCGCGCTCATTGGTCAGACAGAGGGAACCCGGGGTGTCACGCACGAGCCGCTCGCGTGCAGCCTGTGCTCGTATAAATACAAGCTGAAGCGTTAATAACAGCTCGTGGATCAGTCTCGACACCTGCGGTCTGACGGGAGAGGCCGGGACTCGCTGCCGCGGACTAATTTCTGCCTGAGTTTGGAACCGGAAGATGCCAGCCGGCACTTTAGAAAGAACGTCTCCCTCCGCCGGGGACTCAACACCGAGGAAACCTCGGACTCAGTCGGAGAACAGAAAGGTAAACTCTCCGAGCTTTGTTGCTGAAGGTGTTGTACCTTTTGTGGAATGCTAGAAATTGCGTCCGCACGTTTTTATTTGCATCTTTGCTGTGTTCAAAGTCCTCCAAACCCGTCATGGAGAAGCGGCGCCGCGCGCGCATCAACGAGAGCCTGGGGCAGCTGAAGAGCCTGATCCTGGAGGCGCTGAGGAAAGATGTGAGATGAGCTCACAGACAAAATATACAACTGCGACAATTCAGCGAACTGAGTCAAACTGTTTCAATCTTTGCTTCTAAAGAGCTCCAGACACTCCAAACTGGAAAAGGCGGACATTCTTGAGATGACAGTGAAGCACCTCAGAAACCTGCAGAGACTCCAGATGTGTGGTGAGTCCACCTGCTTCTGCTGCAGGAACTCTTAAAACTCCACCTCATGAGTGCACTCACTGCTTAATAATAATAATAATAAATAATAATGGGGTTATTATCGCACACCACAGTAAGGCGAGCACACAATAATGTTTTTTGCCCATATCTGTCTGTTAGCAAAACTTCTCATGACCCACTGGGCAGATTTTAATGAAACTTGCAGAAACTGAACATATATTTAGAAGGGATTACCTTTTTGGAGTCAACTCAACGTAAGGTGTACACCACAACTAACCAACAGCGTCTTACGTTAAAATGACTGTAACACGTTCAGTTTTTCATATACGGAGCTAAAGTTTGTTGTGGTAGTAGCTGAGAGTTGCTTACAAATCATACTTTAAGAGCTAACACATCTTTTAGGATCTCTTGATATTGCTCGTAAAATGATTTCCAAAGTTTGACCAAACGGTTACAACGCTGTCAATTCAATAAGATGATCTTTGTCTAAAACTGACTTGAGAGGTGGCGGGCGATATGCATGCAAAGCCTTCAGTTGACGGTGTAATTTATCCAGAAACATGTAAATTAATTCCCTCTGTCCTCATTTTAATCCATACTCGTGTGTTGGTTTTGTTTTCTTCTCCAGCTGCTGGGAACACAGACCCAGCTGTCCTGACTAAATACCGAGCTGGATTCAGTGAGTGTGTCGGGGAGGTCACCCGCTTCCTGTCCACGTGTGAAGGGGTGAACGCAGAGGTGACGACCCGCCTCCTCAGCCACCTCGCTGCCTGCGTGACCCAGATCAGTTCTGTGAACCTGTTTCATCCGGGCACCTTGGGACACACTGGCACACAGACCCCCGCGGGTTCATCCCCTCAGGTGTCGCTGAAAAGCAGTTCCCACGCGCACGTTTCCCCAGAAGCGGTGAAGGTGTTCGGCAGCTTCCAGGTGGTGCCGTCGCCGGACGGACAGTTTGCTTTTCTTGTTCCCAGTGCAGCTCTCACACCTGTGACCGTACAAAACTTCCATCACATGTCACCTGCAGCGCCTGCTGCCACCTCAGACTCTGTGTGGAGACCGTGGTAGGAACTGCAAGAAGAAAGGACAATACGACTATAAAACATATTAATGTACATATTGTAAACATTTTAGAAAACTTGTGTTAGAAAACAATTGTTTTTTATGTGAATATGAAATTAGACCATCTTGGCCACTTTCCTTGCTGTATTTTCCATATTTTTTTTATGGCACAATTTTTATACTAGAGGGAATTGCTTTGACATGCACGGCATTTTCTAAAGATGAATAAAATATTTTTTGCTAAAGTGATTCCATGTGACTGTTCCAACAATGGGTGGGTTCAGGGCAGAGCGAGCGCTGCTGTGGTGGACTTCAGCTCAGATCTGTGTGAAACAGTCATTGTGCTCAAACTTCAGTTAACCACAGTGAGAGTGGACATGTTTGACCAAAAACATTTAAAAAAGTATAAAGTAAGGATCTTCAGAGGCTGTGAGTGCAGACAAAGGATGGGTGCAGTCTGCAGACACTGCCCCACCTGCACTCCACACAGATAGGATGATTGTTAACTTCTGAGTGGCTAAATTAAGAGCAGACAAACTTTAAACCAAAATAAAAAGGAAAGCTGCTGCACAAGATTCTAACATCCCACAACGTCCTTCTCTAAAGCACAACAATAATTTTGGGACTTCCTTCTGTTTGAATCGAAGCTGAAGAGAACATTATGAGCTCAGACATAAAAGTCTGTGATCATTTTGTGTGTGAGGATCTCAGAAAACCATAAATCCTGCAAAAGTAAGAGACAAATGCTGAAATAAAAGCTGTAAAAAAATAAAAATGACAAGTTGGAAAGTTTGAATAGCTCAAATGCTATGACTTCATCACACAAAGTTTAATGCTCTGTGGGAAAATCTTCACGAACTGTAACTCTTAAAGGATGAAAAAGCCACTTTAGCTACATAAAGTCCAACTTTCTGTGTCCCATTTAAACTTGGACATTTCTACTGTGAAGTCTGTGAGGTCCAAAGCTCTTACAGAAAGCTGGGGTTTCTCACTCCCCCACCCTGAATCCCATGGTTGTGCAGTGGTTGACAAATGGAAGAATAACAGGGGAATTTTATATGAGGCTGGTTTTATTTTGATGCTTTGGCACATTTAACCTTTCAGATCAAAGAGTTATGTTTACATGTCTACATTGACACAGCAACTCTGCATCTACAAGTTCAGGCTGAGAAGAGACACTTTCACAGATACCAAAAGACTTCACACGCCTCCAGTGGAGCCTGGATTTTTCCAAAGCTGCTGGAGGACTTGAAAAATACAGAAGTGAAAATGATACGGGATTAGCTGCTAAACCATAATCAAGGTGCTTCACTAGATCTCTTAACAGATCAGATTTTCATCCTTCCTACTGGAGTAAAGACAACTAGAGAAATTGTATTTCCTGCAGAGTGAATGCTTATTGCTGAATATTTTGAGGACAAAACAGCTGAAATTAGCTAAAATATGCTGAATTGTAGCTGAAATGGAAGAACAGGCCTAAAATAGAAGAAGAAAGCAGAAAGAATACATAATTAGGTTTAAATAAGCAGAAATGAGCATGTAATAGCTAAAAAGCTGAGACTGGCAACAACAACAACAACAAAAAAAAAAACAGCTAAAAAGGCTGAAAAATTTAAACTACCGGTACCAGAGAGAAGCGGAAAATGCTGAAATGAGCTGAAAATGTGGAATTAGCTGAAAATGTTAAAAATTGCATAAAAACAGCTAAATTGTAGATTTTTTTCCTTCTTCTTCTTTCGGCTGCTCCCTTCTTCAGGGTTCGCCACAGTGAACTAAGTCGCACTAAGACTTGGTGGTTACTTTTACGCCGGATGTCCAGCCTGACACAACCACAGACACCGAGCTACCACATCCCTCTGTGTGGAGCAGAGAGCTGCTGTCTAGGACACCCGAAGGAGCAGATGGTGGGGGTTAAGGGTCTTGCTCAAGGGCCCAGAGTGGGGCGAATGAGGGTGGGAGCAGGTGTGGGTGCTTCATCTACCCCACCCACATTTTTGATGTTGTCGATACCGGGGCTTGAACCAGCGATCTTCCAATCACAGGCCCACCTTCTCTAACCTCTGCACCACCACTCCCCTAAAATAGTAGATTGAATAGCAGAAAAGCTGAAACTAGTAGAAAACAGCTGAAAGGAGCATAACAAGCTGAAATTAGGCTGAAAGTAGCAGAGATTAACATCCATCCATCCATTATCTTTAACCACTTCTTTTTTTCTGGGTGGTGGGGTCACTGGTGCCCATGTCCAGCCATCACTGTGCGAGAGGCAGGGGACACCCTGGACAGGTCTCCAGTCCATCACAGGAACACATGGAGATGAACGAGACAACCATTCACTCTCTCACTCACACCTACGGACCATTTAGAGTTACCAATCAGCCTAACATGCATATTTTTGTTCTGTGGGAGGAAACTGAAGTATCTGGAGAAAACCCACACGTGCACGGAGAGAACATGCAAACTCCACCCAGAAAGGATTTGAACCAGGGCAACCTTCTCGCTGAGAGGCAGCAGCTCTACCAGTTTCACCACCGTGCTGCCCGTTAGAGATTACAAAAAAAAACTTATATTTATCTGAAAACAGCTGAAATTAGCTAAAAAAAAAAAATGCTGAAAAGCTAGCTGAAAAGGTAGAACCAGCTTAAATTAGCAGAAGAAACCAAGAACACGTCTGCTTAGTTAGGCTTAAAGAAGCAGAAATTAGCACAAAGAAGTGGAAATCTGAAATTGTTGGGGGGAAAAAATGCTGAGAAATAGCTAAAAAAGTAGAAAAAAGCAGAAATTACCAGAAGGAAGTGAGGAGAGCACACTTTTGCTGAATTAGGCAAAAAAAAAAAAAGGTTGACATGAGTGCAAAAAATGTGTAATTAACTGAAAGGGATCAAATTTGCACAAAACAGTTAAATAGTAGCTGAAATAGCAGAAAAACTTGAAACTTGCAAAAATAAGCTGAAAGGAGTAGAAAGAAGATAGATGCACAAAAATGTTGTAGTTAGCAGAAATTATCTGAAAGGAGCACAAAACAACTGAAAAAAAAATTAAATGTGCACAAGGAAGCTGAAAGAAGCTGAAGCAGAACAAAATGTGAAAGAAGCAGTAAAAGGTTGAAACAGATCTAAAGATCTGAGGAACGTAAAATGAGCTCAATTCATTTTCTATAAGAAAATAATGGCAGAAAAGGCTAAATATTTCAAAAAGCTGAAGTTGGACCAATACCAAAAGTCATAGCAGGATTGTCCTGAAAGTGCTGAATGTTTTGATTTATGATTTGTTGAAATAGCACAAAAATTATGGGACGAGAAAGATGCCGAAAAACATACAGAAGAAAAACGGATCACAGTAGTATGAATGCTTCATAAACATTCACACAATAAAGACAGTTTTATTGTAAATTCATGAGTTTCGGTTATATGTTCTAAAATAGTGCATCAGCGTCAGGACAACGGATCCATCCCACTTGCTTTATTGAACAGTTGGATATCTGTTAGTCTGAGCGATTGTTCTGAGTACGCTGCTCATCCACCAGGTCACAAGACCAGAGGTCACTCACACGTTCAGAACAAACCCACTCCAACAACTCGATGCCTTATATGTGACAATCAACAAGGCTGACAGTCCAACATCCAACACGTCCATCTGCAGAGACAAACACAAGAGTCGTGATTTCTGAGCTGCAAATCAAATCATTTCAGAGTTCGCTGGGTCAGATAAAACCTTAGATACAGATAAGAAGTGAAGAATGCTCAAGTTTACAACTCTGCATGGATTAGTGTACTGTTTGTATGTACCACCTTACTAAGAATATATATATATATATATATATATATATATATATATATATATAGTCTTAATTTAAGCAGCTTGCATCTCTGTTCAGTTCATATGAGAGAAGTCTGATGTAAAGAGCACTAAAAGATGAAAACAGAGCTCCCCCTCCTGTCAGAGCATCCTTTGAGAAGACCCTTCGAAACACAAAAACAAAAACGGGCCCCTCTGTGGCTCAATGGCTCGTCTCTTTGTGACCCTCTCAATCTTCATAAAGGGCCTTCCACTTGTTTATCCAGGAAAAGGTTTAATGGCTGGGACGGGCGGGGGAGAACCACGCTGTCACTTTCACTGTGCTAAAGGCGACTTATTGTTGGTCACTCCCCAAGGTCCTGGGCCTAAAGGCTCTTTAGACCACACTCTCCTCTTCACAGGACTGTGAAGTGGTGACAGGTTACTCATATGTGAACCTACAGCTTCGAAAGGAGCAGCTCCAGCAGGCGAAGCTTGCACCAGAACCATCAGTCTGCGTTTTGTCCTCTCGAAGCCCTCCCAGATCAAAGCCCTGCAGGATGCAGCATTTTGTCAAACGTTGTAAAGCAGATAATGGTGAACATGAAACTGGGTAGGACCCTGTGCTCCATGACTGATAGCCTCCGCTCACAATCACAGCGGCGACAGTGACAGGTTCTCCCTCTGACACAGCGGAAACCTCTGAGTGCGAATCACCTCAGCAGGGTTGTTATGGTGCTTGATGGGGGTGGTGGTTCTTACCACAGCTAATGAATACGTTATGCACTCAATATCAGTGGTGAATAAACAATAGTCGTTGTTCCTTCAGGCCAGTCCAGCCCATTTGGATTTCGGAACAAGCCGACGACAGACATGGAAGAGAAGCTTCCGGCTGTGAATCAGACTGACAGGATAACACTGGAGGAGAAAAATGTATCTTTCTGAAGCCACACAGAGAGATGTGTTAAAACAGTGTTACTCTGCTTCCTCTTCACAAGTCATTATCTTCAGTTGAAATGTGTTACGATGACGGTGGAGGTCTTAAAGGGATGGTCTGGTTATTTTTGATGTGATGTAAAGTTCGGTCAAATAGTTATTAAGAACTAGTACGAGAAAAAGGCAGAGGTTTTAGTTCAGGCTAGACTAACGGCTAGCCAAATGAGGGTGTATTTGGATACGGTAGTTGCTTTTCAGGCTTATAAACACAACTATTTCAGAAAAACTACAAACAT